GCATAGAAAAGCTCGAAAATACTGAGCTACGTAAAGATATGTTGAGCAACATATATATTATCCCTATAACAACTAATTGTTCTTCCTCTAGAGCTATATGGCATAGTAGATGCTGATAGGATTTTTCCCACATTTGGTTGATTAAGGGCACAGAAACAAAGATAAGATTAAATTACCTTGATTTTACACTTTCAGGTGAGATAAACACTAGGTTCTTCTTGATTTTCTCAAACCTGAAAACATTGAAAACCTAAGTTGAATGGGCTCCTTCAATGCGTTAAGCTTTTTATGACAAATCATAACCTGAATTATGAAAGAAGATATCGTATGCTGGATAATATTACCATATTAATTGGGTACACACTATTATACAGTAGGTGTTAGATACACAGAGCCACTGTAGACCAATAATCGAGGCATAAAATACATATGTGTTTAGTTGAAACAAAAAGAAGCAAAACAAAATTTATAGTTTCCGGCTAAGCAGATAAACTCATAACTTTGTTAGTTCTTTGTTTTTTTGTTTTTTTTTGTTCCGCGGCGTTTACATTTCGCTTTTCAACTTAATTAAGAAATCCAATTAACATCATTGGCATTAGATGTTCCAGAATATGCGCAATTTGTTTTGTTTTATGTTGGGCACACTTACACACGCACGCAGGCCTGTGTGTGCGTCTGTGTGCGTGTGTGTGTGAGTGTGTGCGTCTTGCGGCTTTTGGCTTTTCTGCATATGTAAAGCAGGAGCAGTAGCAGGATCTGTGTCGCCTTTGCCGCCATTGATAACGCCTTTCAGTTTGTCATTGCGTGCGGCCCGATGCGTGTAAGTGTGCGTGTATCTGTGTGTATCTGCGTGTGTCTGTGTGTGTCTGTGTGTGTGTGTGTGTGTAAGACACGCAAAGTTCAAAACATTAACAGCAATGACAAACAACTCAGCAGCAGCGGCAGCTGCTTTTCCTGTTTGCCCATTCAATTTACATGTTGTTGTTGTGGGCGTGGCAACGATAGAAACTCAGCAAACAGACACACACACACACACGCACACTTATGCATGCATAGCCACCTGATCAGCTTTATGCTTGCCTTCAAACTGACGCAGAGCGCGCGCGAGTGGGAGAACGCCCATCACTAATCACAGCGGCAACAACAACAACAACAACAAGAACAACAACAACAACAACAAGAACAAGAACATCAAGCGCCTAAGCCTGTCAGAGTATTGAGCTTCGAGCTTTACTCTGCCATTTCAACTCAACTCAACTGAGCTTAACTCATCGCATAGCCAAAGTCAACGTCAAACTTGGTACAGCTCTGACGCTCGCACTCTGCCGCGCTCCCGTTCTCACGCTCTCGCTCTCGCTCTCGCTCTCTCTGTCTCTCACTCTCGCGCTGTTATTACCATAAAGAGCAACGGAAACAACAAACAAAACAACAGCAGCAGCAGACTGCACATTAAAGAAAATCTACTTAGCATTAAACCAATTCTACTTAGTTAGTAGAAGGTTGGTCGCAGGGCGGGGCTGCGGGGCACGGCTTTTGTGAACGTTTTCATTAGAGCGTACAAAATGCGAAAGCCAAACTGATTAAGGCCTCAATTGAAAGACAGCATTTGCCCCACTCATATGCACAAGAGCAGGACGAACGAGTATAAGTACACACGCGCACACACAGACATACATACCTGCTCATATGTTAATGCGTGTGCGTGTGTGTGCTGATTAGAGATGTGCAAGAACGAGCCATTCAGCGCTCAGGCCTTGAATTTCTATTATAAGCGGACTCAGGCTCAGACTAAAATAAACGAAAACAGAAAACTGCAGCAAATATCGCAGCAATAATCTCATTCCCCGAACTAAATGTAGACTGTAGGGAAAGCCTCATTGGCCTATATCAATTATTAAATGAAAACAATTGAAATGACAGTTTCACGCCTAGAAATACAACAAACTGTCTGTCACGTACAGACACGCATGTGGCTTATGGCGAGCATATGTTTTTTTTCTTAGAAATCAGCATTATATATGCTTTTTTGAGTAACATGCTTTGCTTGTTAGACTTGTCAATATGGGCCCGGGGGTTTTCAAATCAAGTTCACGATACGTGCGCGTTCACAAATGCGTCACGCGCCCATCTCGAATACAGATGGACTGTAACAGTTAGAGAGACAAATAAGCAGAATGTTCAAGGCGACGACTAAAGAGCGTGTGGCAAAGCTCAAGCATCAACACACAGGCACGTAACGGGTTTCGCTGCGTTGTGAGGTTATGGGTGGATTTTATAAACAAATATTTGGATTTAACGGCATTGCGACGCGTGCGCCGATGTGGGCGCGCTTTATGCTTAATTTAAAGAAAATTTGTAGTACTCGTTAGTACCAGGCAGCATTTTAGGCACTACGCATATGTATGCGCGTGTGTGTGTGTGGCTTGGCGCTCACTTAGTTACAGTTAAACTAGCGCTCGCTGCCAGCTTGTGCTTATGCCGAAATAAAAATAAATAAATAAGAAAATAAAAGGAAAGAACGGAACAAAATAAAAAGCAAAACGAGAAAACCGCACCCAAGTTGAGATTACTTATCTTTAGTTTTCATTTAAATATGAAGAGCCAAGTGCTGTTACGCTGTGTGTGTGTGTGTGTGTGTGTGCGTGTGTGTGCGCGCGCGCTGTACTTTCATTTATTTGGCTGCTTCTGGTTTCCTTTCTACTTTTACTTTATGGTTTTTTATTTTCTCCTTTTTATTTTAGCGTTTTAGCGTTTTTCCTTTGCACACTGAAATTCTTTACATACTTCGTGGTATTTTTGTGCCAAGCCTCCCGCACACGCCCCTTTTGCACACTGACCACGCCCACGCCTCCACAGAGCAGCGCACTTGTGCGCCTTTTATGTGCCGCTCAGTATTTTAGTATTTTCTGATTCAGAAAAGGACAAGCAACACACACACACACACACACACGTACACAGAGCCAAACACACATGTTGTGGCCGTAGGAAATGCTGTGTGTATATGTATTTGCGCTTTCAATTCCGGTTTCATTTCAAGTTAGTTGGGCAGCCAAATAATTGAATTTAGAGAGCCGCAGATGGACAAGAAAACCAGATGACATTATACACTTACATGTGCACATACATCTACACATGGATATACAAATGTGTGTGTGTTTGTACATATGTGTGTGATGACGTCACTTTCCGTTTGCCCTCTTGAGCCCGACATGCGTCAAAACAAGCAGCGACATCAGCTTCCCATGTTAAGCCATGTGACTGTTCACTGTGGGCGTGGTTCACATGGTGTCTACGCGGAGGGGGATATGAAGGGCGAGTGGGAGGGGGAGCAGAGTTATGAGATTTTGGTTGATAAAAGGGATTAGAGCCCCGATTCTGATGCTGCTTTCAGCTGCTGCCGCTGCTGTGGCTTCAATTGAGCCAATTATGATGACTGAATCAAATGCAAATGTATGGGTAAATAGGTGTATGGGTGCATGAGTGTGTGTGTGTGTGTGTGTGTGTGTGTGAGTGTGTTTGTAGTTCTGTAACTAATAGACAGCTGATGTATTATATAGAAGCTTTCATGTCAAACTACATTGCCTGAGGGAGAAGAAGAAGCAGAAGAAGAAAACAGAAGAAGAGGAAGAAGAAGAAGAAGCAGTTCTTCGACAAAATGAAAACAAAAATTTGCCTCTCCTTCACTAAAAAGGCTAACTATTATGTAAAAAAGTTGAACTCTGGTACAGCTGGCAACAATTAGAACGTATTTCTGTAGGCCCTGTACTGCATATATTATAAGCCTCTTTCAGTAGATTTTGGTTAAAACCTTTCAAACCAGTACGTTTAAAGTAATCAAAGAGAACCTTTAAGAACCTCAGCTAATTCCCTGAATTAAGCATTACAGCACAAGTCGAATTAGTAAAACTTTTAAATATCAATAATGTAGTTGGTTAATGACGTCACATCATCAATGAAAAATAAGTCTGTGACAAGCGATCAACAAATAAAAAACATTCAGACTAAGGAATGAATACTTAGATATACATATAGCTATTTCAATGAATATACCAAATCATCTTCCTCCAAAATTCACCAACTAGAGCTCGAGCATGAGCTGGTTGAAGTGACCAAGGAGGAAAGCGAGGGCTATATGCTTAATAAACAAATGATTTAAAAAGGTATTTGTTTTCAATCGCCAACTTTTATGTCAACTAAACAAAAAAAAAAGTGTGCCCAGGTAGCTCCGACATAAGAGACCCAAAGAAAGAGGTATGAAGAGTCTAGCTTGAAGCCTGTGAGACTTTGATGCTGTTCTTTATTTGCAAGCTGGAAACGGAAAATTTCAAAATCTTTTCGAATCTTTTATGTTCCAGCTGTAAGCAAGGCTGTAAGGAATATCAGCTTCTGTGTAAGCTAACATTTTGGTGCTTTTTAACAATTTGTTTTTTTTTTTTCTAATATTAAACTTTGAGTTCTTTGTATAAATTCAAAGCTGTCTTCGATTAAGGCTAGAATTTAAGATTTAGATTTAAGCAAGCTGCAAGCTAAACTACATCTTTAAGAACTTATGCCTGGCTTGCCCCGAACTTAAGGGGTATCTGTGAGCTATATATGCCCGCTCTTAATCTTATATCAAACTGAAGCCAAATACCCAACACACAGTTGTATTGCACCCAGCTAGTTTGTAAGCTTAGTCGCCCACAGCTCACGTGTTTTGCCTGATTCGTGATCTAATTAACTAAATACTTATGTGATTGCATATGATAATGGTAATGTATGTTAGCTGATAAATTCACACGACTGTTTGGCCGTAGCACACACGCACAGACACCTGAAAAATACAAAAAAAAAAAACAAAACAAAAAAAATGCAATTAAAATAAAACACCTGCAACCCACAGCTGCCCACTTAGTAAGATTCATTTGTTTCGTAATTCCCTGCAGAAGTTGACAAGCTCTAATCATTCTCTCTCTCTCTCTCTCCTTTCCTTTCTCTATTTATAAATGTATTTATTTTAGCTCCGCAAGCCAGCGTCGACACTTTCAATTCCTGGCTCGATGAAAACACCTTCCATTGCGAACCGGGAACAGATCTCATCTGGATGCAACGAAGAAGCGGCCGAGGCACTTGTGGGTATCCACTCAGACTACCCTAGGTATGAAATGTATGTATACCAATCGCCAAACTACCATATACCTATCCTGCAATATAAACAAAAACAAGTAAGCGTTCGACTAGCAGATACCCTGTACCCTGAGTCCCTTACAAGCATTCGATATGGACACACACAAAAACACAGCACGTCCCCCCTGGCCGCTATGCTCTCTCTCTATCTTGCCTTTGCACCACACTATGTTAAATCCAGTCCCGAATAACGTCGGTGCTTATTGTCCGATCTTTAAACAATTTTCCGAGATCAAAATATGGGAACAAAATATGTGTTTATATATCAAAGCCCAAGGCTCTATATTTAAGTTTGCATTTTTGCATAAACTATTCTTAATCTAGCAATTATTTTCTTCGAGTTAGGCCTAAAAAACCTAGTCTCAAAATCGATATTTATCGATATTATGGCAATGGGCAGAGCCTAATCTGCGTATGATAAACGTATTTCAAATTTCAAGTCTCCAGCTTCTATTGTTTCCGATATCGAGGCGTTCATGAACACTCTGCTCGTCGTCCTTAATTGGGGATCGACGATACTTTCGCCTGTCTCTAACATACATTAGCCCAAAACTAGTATACGCCTTTGCCGCTGCGCAAGGGGTATAAAAAGCGCATCTCGCTAAGCGTATGTAATCAATAAACAGCAGCTATCTATATGAGTCGCTCGTCTAAGCCACATTCCATTACCAATTCATGTGCCGACACCAGAGCCTCACACTCACACACACAGACACACAATTTAGATAATGCCTTGGCTCTAGCTAGGCCCAAAAAGCGTGGAAAAAAATTTGACTAATTGCCATGGGCCATAATTAGCTGTCAGCGCCAGAAGGGCAGATTATAAATGTCATTACATAAGTATATCTATCCTTGAAGGATACCAAAATACACACACACACGCACACACGCACACACAGAGAGACAGCCAGAGCCACAAAACTAATCCCCAACAAATCTCAAAGTTAATATACATAAAGTTTAGCAACCTGCAAACTCGTCACAGGCGCTTATTTTGTCCGTTTGGGATATGAAATCAAGTCCTATTGAGCTTTTGATGATCATTCAATTTGTTATTATGTATTAGAAAGTCAATATGGCTAAGGGAAATACGTATATGTGCGTATTGTGTGTGCAGTACAATGCATAAATAAATCGCTTTTAAATGCCTTCAAAGTACAACGATTTTGCAATATTACGTTCAATTTGGCAGAGTTCAGCATTCGGATGCCCTGTAAATCGCTCAAGGCATGCAGCTGGGTATATTTGCTTGTAAGCTGCAGAGTGCAGATTAACATATAAGGTTTTTATTTTATTCCAACTGATGAACTATGCAATACCCTGCATTTAGCATGAGATATAGCTCTGCTGTTTGGCATATGCGCATTTGTGTATGTTAACTCTATATGCTGCGAGTTTCATGAATATCGTTTCATAATTAGAAAAAAATGTGTAGAAATCCTTTTTAACTTTAAGCTAAAGGTCCTTGGGATTGGCTAAGAATCACACTCAGATACTTTGCGAGCTGTTAATCGCAGATATATACCTTTTATTTTTGGCATAGCTTTAATTATATGTCTACTCAATTTACAATTTATTCAATGAGAAAAAAGTCGAATAGCATCGCTTAGCCCAAGAAACCTTAGCATGAGCACAGGGTATTTGACTAGACAACACATCTAACTATGCTACATTTAGGTAAATAGGGGGAAGGCAGGATGAAATTCTGTCTCTGCTTTCAGTTCTCAGCCAAATTTGCCTGCACACGTGTGTGCTTTTCTATCTGTGTGTGTGTGTGTGTGTGTGTGTGTGTGTGTGTTTCTGTATCTGTGTGTGCTTCATATCTTTCGGATACACAAATTGATGTGACACAAATTTTCATGAGACAGCAGCCAACAACAACAACATCAACAGCAGCAGAAAACAAAGAAGAAAACAAACCTGTCATCCATTAGTTAAAGATTCATTTCGCCATAGATGGCATTTCTGTCATGGTCTGTAGTTATCAAGTAGTTGGTTAGTTCTTAGCAGATATATGAAGAGTGAGTGTGTGTGATTGGGGAGGGGAGAGGCAGAGGAGAGGTTTATCAATTAACATTAAGCACACGACCCATTTTACTATTTGCAGGTATATGGAAGAACGTGCGCTTACTGGCGGCAATACGTCCAGGAAGCCATCAACAAACTCGGCCAAACACAAACCCAATGTGGGCTATCGCCTGGGCAAGAGAAAAGCTTTATTCGAGAAGCGTAAACGCATTAGCGACTATGCCCTTGTCATGGGCATGTTCGGGATCATCGTGATGGTGATTGAAAACGAACTGAGCAGTGCCGGCGTCTACACAAAGGTGAGTTATTAACGTGTGCCAATTACCAATGACGAGTGAAATTATATTAACGCAACGAATCATTACTCGTCTCTAACGATTATTGATGAGGCCACATACTAATGAAGAACGACATCATATTAACGGCTGATGTTTAACATGAAATGAGTTTAATACCAATTGAATTGAAGTAACAACTCGTTACTAATTAATAAGCGAGTAAAATATAGCGAGTGAAATGAATCATTGCTCGCTGCTAACGATTATTGATTCGAGCTACTTACTAATGAGGAGGTACATGATATAAACGACTGATATTTAACATGAAATGAGTTTAATTGAATTGAAGTAACCACTCGTTACTAATTAATCGGCGAGTAAAATAAACCGAGTGTAATAAATCATTACTCGTTGCTTAATATTATTGATGAGAGCTACTTACTAATGAAGAACGACATAATATTACGCGATTCATATTAAGCATGAAATGGTTTTGAATGAATGAACTGAAGCAACCACTCGTTTCTAAATAAGTGGCGATTAAACTTCAACGAGTGAAACTATATTACCGTTGCGAATTATTAACGATTGCTTCTCTCTAATGTGTAAACATATAAACGATATAAACTGTGGAAGCTGATGTCACTTCTCGTTACTCATAGCTACTGATATGTCAGTACTCGTTAGCATTTGTTAGCCGTGAAATAACTGTTTTATGTATTGAAGTGTTGCCCAAAATAATTTTGTCGTTTTAGAATGGAAACTTATTAATAGCGAGTGAATTAGGTACTCACTACTTATTAATGTGATGAGTAGAATTTAATTTAATTAAGCAAAACTATTGCTTAATAGTTATTGACGAATGGCACTCAGTAACATACATACATATAAGTAAAATGTAAAGAAATGTTTACTGAGAGCTGATTGAGTTATGAGAGAATATAATCATTTTCGTTAATAGCTAGAAATGACGAGGGCCAATTACCTATGAAATCGTGTATTTGTCACTACCGAGTCGCTGTTTATTAATTGATAATTTTTTCTCGTTGCAGGCATCGTTTTACTCGACAGCGTTAAAAACCTTAATATCTGTTTCGACTGTGATTCTTTTAGGACTTATAGTAGCTTACCATGCTTTGGAAGTGCAGGTGAGAGTGAGTGCAAATTGTATCTTCTCTTGCAGATGTTATTGATGGTCGTCATCGTTATTGTTTAACGTTGCCATCGTTTTACCCGCTCACTGTTATGACCCCCGCTCCCGTAACCCCCGCCTCATCGTAAAGCATCCCAAAAAAAAAAAAAACAAAACAAAACCCAAATCCCAAGAAAAACAAAAAAAAGAATATAACCTCCAGCCCATACCTTTCATTCAACCAGCTCCAGCGTAGAGACCCAACACCTCATTGCAGTTTGTTTGTTGTAAACTTTTGTGTGTTCTTTGTCTGTTCTAAAAAAAAAAAAACCACATGACTTGCCCGTAGCTACAGAGAGAATGCCTGAATTGAACAGAGTGTTGCACTTTGCATTTGACGCCTTGCTGCGTCTATCGTAATTGTTATCGTTATCGTTATCGCTATCGCTAGCATGCATGCGGCTAGCGAAACCGAACGAAACTGTATCCACAAAGTGCAAAACTTTGTTTACGTTTATTAAGTTAAATTCTTTGAATGTGTGTTCTTGCATTATTTACGAAAAACGCGAATTTCGAGTGCTACCTATATAATTCCATTCCGTCATTCCGTGTGTCCCAACTAAAAGGGGGGATGAGGCGAGTAGCGGGATAGAAAATGAGAGAAAGAGAGATAGAGCTTCAGCTACATTAATTTATTTGAACTTGTTCTCTTGGCATTCTCATATTTACTCAGCTAAACAGAAACAGTCATCAGATCATGGAACTTGAACTTCAAGCATATTGTAAATACAAACATAAGCCAGCTCATTCCCCGTATTCCCTTCCGCCCTCCAGTAATTTCACCACCACCCCCCCCTTTGATAGTGAGAGTTAACAGTCGCCATTTCTCGGGCGAATCAGGCCAAACCTGAAGCTCAATACTTATTCATAATTGGGTTAACATGCAGTCACATATAATTATACCATTTATGCGCTTTTAATACCAGTTGCATGTACAGCACTATAATTTATTTGGTTAACTACAAAAACAACTAAAACCGAACCAACTGTCGAAAAAAAACGCCCTACCCAAACCACGTTCATTTCCCACCCTCCAATTGCCACAGCCACTGTGTTAACAATTTAGCAAAAAGAAATAAAAAGAACAAAAAAAAAAGGAAAAACACAAGTATTTAAGTTTTCGCATGAGTAATGGTAATATATTTAATTTTCCAATAAGAAACAAAGCAAAACAATAAGAAACAAGAGCATGGAAGAGTTATTTATTTATTTGTTATTTGTTATTTCTTATTTATGTTACAATTTCAATGTGCATATGAAAACATAATAACATAATAAACAATTTAACATAACATCACGGTACATTGCACACAATATACTCGTAAATCCTCCAATAATAATACAAATTCCAATCATGCAATAAAGTTCTTGACTACCAAAATCTATAACTTAAGAAACGGCAAATCGAATGCAATCAATGCGATTTTTCTGCTTGGAAGCGTCTCTTTCAATACTATCAAAACTCAAGCTGTGATGTTTCATTTGAGGCACATACCATACGAGAAAGTCCTGTGAGTCCTGTGAATTTTTGATCAAAAGACGCAAAAACTAGAAGAACCACCGCTCAATCTATAAAAAAAAAAAAAAAAAAAAAAAAGAAAAACGAGATTCTCAGAACTACATCATTTTCCTGCCATTTTTCGTCCATGATTCAGACATAACTTAAATGTTCAATCAT